GCAACCACAGCAGACTCTCATCCGTTTCCTAGCAACCCCAGCAGAGTTCCACCCGCTACCTAGCAACCACAGCAGACTCTCATGCGTTTCCTAGCAACCCCAGCAGAGTTCCACCCGCTACCTAGCAACCACAGCAGAGTCCCATCCGTTTCCTAGCAACCCCAGCAGAGTTCCATCCGTTTCCTAGCAACCCCAGCAGAGTTCCACCCGCTACCTAGCAACCACAGCAGAGTCCCATCCGTTTCCTAGCAACCCCAGCAGAGTTCCACCCGCTATCTAGCAACCCCAGCGGAGTTCCATCCGTTTCCTAGCAACCTCAGCAGAGCAGACTGAAATTAAATTATCTAAGAGGATTTTGTGGAAAAAATGTAATGAACATCTTTTGTTTAGGCCACAGATCTATCCTAACCCGTCTAAGGAAGCAAGATAGGTCACTTTCAAACACGCATTAGAAACTATTGTTAGAAATAGTGAGATCTGATTTGCTTGACCTACAGCTGAAACGATTAATCAGATGAATCGTGATGAATTGATTATTGATTAATCATCAGCTAATTTAGTTATCAATTAATCATTAACTGGAACTGAAAAAAGGCCAACTACTGAGAGAACAACACAGTCAGCTGTAATTAACATAAAGCTGTTCAAAATTATATACATTTTGCATTTAGGATAAAAAACAGTCAGTAAATATATTCAACCAAAACGTCTTCCTTTGTGGGTTTAGTTCAGACTCAGTGAAGGAATGCTGTCATTGCATTTTATTCAATTAAATGTTTATTTTACTATTTAAAAAGTTAACTGTATTATTTTTTGCATCATTTAATGAATTTCTAATGTTGGTTAAATGAAAAATCTGTAGAAGTGCCAATTTTTTTATCAGATTAATCGTCAGAAAAATTTATAGAATAATCGATTATTAAAATAATTGTTAGCTGCAGCTGGAGCTGATATGTTATTTCTTTAATCCAGTGTGAGAAACAACCTGTTGTCGTGTTTTCAGGTGATCCACTGGAACTCTCCGAAGAAACTGCGAGTGAAGAACAAACATGTGGAGTTTTTCAGGAACCTCTACCTGACCTTCCTGGAGTACGACGGCAACCTGCTGCGGAGGGAGCTGTTCGGCTGCCCGAGCCAGGCCAGTCCGGAGAGCGTCCGGGTACGACACACACACACACACACACACACACACACACACACACACATGAATAAACACAGGAGCTCAGGAATCTCAATAATCCATCCCATCATGATAACTAATCCACCTGCGTTTGTTTAAGCATAAAAACAGTAAAGAGTCTGTTAGAAGCTGTAGTTCCTCTCCCCAGCTGCAGGCGGCGCTGGAGGAGCTGGACGAAGACGATCAGTGCTACGACTTCCGGCGTGAGCGGCTGACGGTGCACCGGGTCCACCTGTACTTCCTGCAGTACGACTACACGCCAGCGGAGGACGACACAGACGTCACGCTGGTGGCTCAGCTCTCCATGGACAGGTAGGGGACGGAAATTCAGATAAAATCATCAGCTTTTATTTTTGGTTGGCATTATGTCTGGTAAAATTAACCACAAAGGAAAAAACTGACTGGGCCCAGAGCAGAACCTGGAGGAACTCCTTACATGTAGACATGATGAGTTGAACTGAATCCTCGTTTAATCCGTTTCCCTGCAGTGGAAAAAATCTACTGAATGGCAGCCATGATTTAAACAAGCAAACATGAATGAATAAAGGCTCAATCTGCAGATTATGGAGGGCTAAAAGGGACAAAATTAAATAAATAAATACATACAAAATTAAATATTTATTAAATGTAACATGGAATAAATATATGTTTCATTAAATATTTAAAATATTTTATTTAATGGACAGCTAATTATTAAATATAACTCCGTCCCACCGTTAGCCACACCCCCGACTTTTCTTTTTTATTGCTGCAACTGAAATTAAGTATGTCTTCTATTTGTATTATTATTATTTTCTTGGTATTTTACTGCAGATTTTATTTTTTAAATTAAACTTCCTGTTATCTCTTGTTGTCATTCCTCTGTCTATGATGTTGTAATTATTGTGAAGCTCTGACCTTGTAAATGTTCAATATAAATAACTTTTGACTTGACTTGAATGACATATTTGAAAACTAACCATCTATGAAATCAATTATTTATTTTATGACATATTAAAATAATGATGTATTTATTTATTGAATGTTGTCCCTTCTGGGCCTCCGTAGTGTTTGATTCCCTCTGCACTAAGCTCTTCCTCCTGTGTCTGGCAGGCTGCAGATGCTGGAGGCCATCTGTAAGCACTGGGAGGGCCCCATCAGCCTGGCGCTCTACATGTCCGACGCCGAGGCGCAGCAGTTCCTGCGCTACGCTCAGGCCTCCGAGGTCCTCAAGAACCGCAAGAATGTCGGCTACCACATCGTCTACAAGGAAGGCCAGTTCTACCCGGTCAACCTGGTGAGGAACGTGGCCCTGAAGAACGCCAACACGCCCTACGTGTTCCTGACGGACGTGGACTTCCTGCCGATGTACGGTCTCTACGACTACCTCAGGTGAGCGCAGCGGTCAAAACATTTAGAGTTTCCTGGCGTCGTTAGAGCAGCTCTGTGGCTTCAGCCTGTGGTGGGCAACGCTAAATACAAACATGTGCTAATCAAAAACATCAGTTTCGCTAATGCTAATGAGCTACGCCAACATGGTATTTAACTGAAAGTAATGCTAACGTGCTATATCATCATCATACTTATTAGAAGCTAATGCTAAAGCTCTGAACTAACATGGCATTTAGCGAATGCTAACATGCTAAACAAACATGATATTTAGTGGAAACTTATGCTAATTTGTTAACCAACATGGTATTTAGCAGAAGCTAATGCTAAGGTTGTTACCTAGCTGCTAGCCAATTGCTACTGTTGCTTATTTAATACAATAAAATGCCAGTCAGATTTTTTTCTCTCACATTTGACCTTTGACCTCCCCATTCTTTGTCACTTAAGAAATCTGCTGAGTATGAAATACTTAATGCTCCAGCTGTTTGTCAGCCGAAACGTCTCGTGGAAAAACGACCTTAAATGTTTGTGGTCTTTCAGGAAGTCGATCGTCCAGCTGGATGTGGCTCACACCAAGAAGGCTCTGGTGGTCCCGGCCTTCGAGACGCTGCGCTACCGTCTCTCCTTCCCCAAATCCAAAGCCGAGCTCCTCTCCATGCTGGACATGGGGACTCTCTACACCTTCAGGTACCAGAACCAGAACCTTCCAGACGAGCAGAGCACCCAGCTAACAGCGCCCCCTGTCTGCAGGTACCACGTGTGGCCCAAGGGTCACGCTCCCACCAACTATGCTAAATGGCGAACGGCGACCACGCCCTACAAGGTGGAGTGGGAGTCGGACTTCGAGCCGTACGTGGTGGTGAGGCGGGACTGCCCCGAGTACGACCAGCGCTTCGTGGGCTTCGGTTGGAACAAGGTGTCCCACATCATGGAGCTGGACGCTCAGGTGCGCCACCGCCTGGAGCCAAACGGGACTGAAAACAGGGACTATTATGGAAGAGCGCTCACTTTTACTTTTAGCAGGTTTTTATGTGATTTTATGTTGGAGCAAATGTTCTGTTAAACCTACAAATAAAACAACAAAACACATTTAACAGAAGCTAACACTAAACGAAAACAATAATTAGCACAAGCTAATGCTAATGCTAAATCACTAAACCAACATGGTTACTGTAGATAGATTGTTGACCTTCAGGTCCTGATTTAATATTTTCCGCCATTTGCTTCCATTTTGGGTTCATAAATGTAGTTAAGGTGGAATTCAGTAAAACTGGAACAGAATCTGTGGAATAATAAATCAGATTTCTCAGAGCCTTGCAGGTGAACATCCTGACCTTTGACTCCGGTTTCTGTGTTTCTCCTGCAGGAGTTCGACCTCATGGTCCTTCCCAACGCCTTCATGATCCACATGCCGCACGCGCCCAGCTTCGACATCTCCAAGTTTCGCTCCAGCTCCAGCTACCGCAACTGTCTGAACACGCTGAAGGACGAGTTCCACCAGGATCTGTCCAGGAAGTACGGCGCCGCCGCCCTCAAGTACCTGACGGCCCAGAGGAACATGTGAGCTCCAGACGGAGCGCTGAGGCCCGGAGCGTGCCGGCGGCCCGACGCGGCGGGCGGCGCGTCTGGTGGAACCGTGAAGCTTTATGGCCCCTCGGAGAGCGGCGGCGCCGAAGGCCCGGAAGCAGGAAAACAGGAACCATACGGTTTTCACTTTGTTCTGACAATCAGGGCTTTTCCCACTGGGAACCGGTCCGGACCCGGCGCTCCGGGTCGGGGGAAACCAGTCGAACTGGAGAACGATTCAAGCCTTATCAACTCCATGACATTTACAAAGATATTTAATAAACTTCTTTGTTTTTTAAGGCATAAATCTGAACCAATGATAGCGAAACATTTGCATTTACAGAGTTTTGATTACGGCTTTATATTTCTGGACGGGTTTAAGGGAAAAGAACCCGACGGTTTCCGGATCAGATCACGTTTCCGTGTGCTTTAAGTGTGTGTGCGATCCGGCGCCGCTGTCGCCACGGCGACGCCGCTCGGAGTCACGCCTGCTTCGTCCTGCATGTAAACCGCTGCACCAGGTTCTCATCTCATCGCTCGGGTTTCACAGCAGCAAAGAAGTTCTGACCGGACCCACCGGGACCAACAGGAAGCTGGACTTTACGTCTGAGTCACTGGATGTCTGCGCCGTCTACTGACCGATTTCACTCGTCATCCTGCTGATTTTACTCATCCAGCTGAAATTAACTCATTTTCCTGCTGCTGCGTCAAAATTCTTCATATTTAAGGAAATTCTGTGTTTTTTAGACTCAAACACTGAAAAAACACAAAACTTTACCAAGTAACTTTGGTCGAGTTTCTGGTGCAAATATCTTAGAAAATGTTTCAGCAAGACACAGAAGCTTGTTTTAATAAATAAAAACTTAATTTTGTTCCAGTGGCAGATAAATTAATTTAAAATGCTGTAAAACACTGAAGGATGGAGACCTGAGGGCAGCATTGGTGGGAAAAACAAAAATAAAATCAATAGAAGATTCAGTTAAGGTCAGAGGTCATGATTCAACAATGACAGAGAGAAACTGGCCAAAGATGGCCGCCACTGGAGGGATCCGAGACCAGAACCGGCGCTGACCCGTCTCAGAAATCATCCCCATGCTCTCCACGGTGGTGGCAGTATGATGCTCTCTGAATATAAGAACATTTCAGCAATTCATCCTCTGATTGGCTCAGAAAAAATAAAAATAAAAAATTATGAAAGTTAATGAAATCGTCTGAAAAATTTCAGTTTTTGATCCGAAACATTTAAACGAAACGGAAAAGAAATTTGTGTGAAGGGAAACTTTTAGGTCCCACCTGATCGCCTGACTATAAATAAAAAAATGTAATTCATTAATCTATAATCAATCATAATTAAAGTAAAAGTGATGGATTCATAAACAAACGAGCAGCAAGAGAAACGTCTTAATTCCAGCTGGATTTCCTGTTTTTATTTTTATTAAAGTATTTATCGTTCAGATTTTCTCCTCTGGACTTTAATTTAATAATTTTTTTCTTTATTTTATTTTATTTTTTTATCTTTGTCTTGTTTTGAACCTTTCGTTTTTACGCCGCCGCCATGTTGAGGGAAGCGTCGTCGCTGCGGCTCCCCGGCGGAGGAAACGTCTCGGTACCAAACGTCGGATCGCGTCTGACGGAGAGCGACCGGACCGTCGCCATGGAGACCGTCGCCACGGAGACCGTCGTGACTCCGTCCACGCCGCCTCCATCCTCTTGTTGTTGATTGTGGTAAATGCTAGTGCCTTTTGCTGTATTGTGAAACTGGATATTGATTGTACGGACGGCGCGGCCTGGACCGACAGGCTCTATTTATTATTGTTGACTCAAATCAATCATATTTTTCTATGTAAGTGCTTTAAATAAATTTGCCCTTTTCTAATTACTCCGCCTGCTGCGTGTTTTGTCCTCAGGAAGAGCTAATTTTATTTTCTGGATTACCCTGTGAAATTATTTATATTCCTTCCTCCGCGGGCTGAATGTCGGGGGAGATCCAACATTTCTATTTATCGGGGTCAGCGGTTTGAAGCCGAGCGACTCTTCCATGTGTGTAATTGGTCCAGTAAGAAACTTTTAATAGAAACGACATTGTTTTGGAGAAATGGGTCCCCTGGCTTCTCCTCCTGTTTAAATGCAAATCACTGAGAAATAATTGGAGAAATAGTTTCACTGAACTTTTCTCCAGAGTTAGCTTCATTCACAGAAGAAACAAATAAAAAACAGAAAAACAGCAGAAAGGAAGACTGAAGACAGAGATTCTGCAGATAAATCAGTGAAATCTCATCCAAAAAGCTGCTGAGTGATTATAAGGAGGGAACAGATAGTTTCACAACATCATTTTTATCGATCGACTCATTTCCATCAGAAACAAACGTCTCAGTAATCTGACTGCCAGGGAAACGGCTCTATGTGTTTCATTTCTATGTTTTCTGAAATATTTTGTTGATTAATTTCTGTAATGAATTGAGAGCAGGTGTAATTTGTAATGAAGGACTTTTGATCTTTTTGTTATGATGCGTAACCATAGCAACAAATGTTTTTACAACTGGGAGTAGCCGATTAGCATCTGAAAAGCTCAAGTAATACCTGAACTTTGACCCCAAATCTCAGATGTTATCGTCAAACGTTGATGCCATAAAGAACGTCTTCAGTCAGAGGGTTCTTCAGATTTGTTGCAGCACTGACTGGAGGAGCTGGAAGGTCCTTCCTGCCCACAGCACAACATCCAGAGTGACTCTTACTTTGACTATGTGACATCAGATTTGGAATAATTGAAGTAATTTGAATTGAATTATTATTTATCTACTAAAATAGAAATGTACAGATTTGTGTTCAGTTTTTTCAATAGACAACAGTATTTTCACAGTGTTCCTGTTTCCATTTAATCTTTTTTCTAACTTAAACTACAGCCAACCAGGTCTCACAGAGATCATTATTAATATTTTATTTTTTATCTTTTTATTATTTTCAGATCTCCAGAGGTTTCATCATGAAGAGCAGTCCATCCCACGCTGCGCAGCCTGAGAACCCTGCAGCTCTGGGTTCACAGCAGGAGGTCTTCCGCTCCACGCCTTCAGCTGCTGGTCCGATGGAAACACAGATACACATTATTTATCTCTTTCATTAGCAGAACCTTTAAATGACCCTTCAGGAACCGCTGAAGCTACTGAGCTGTTCTGATGTGAATGCAGCCAAGGAGACGTAAAAATACCACCTACGATGTTTTTCATAAAATAGACGCGTTAGAAGCGCTTTGATGCCATCTAGTGGTAAAAGTGGGAACTGCTGTAAATAATTTTAACCCTGAGTCAGAAATAAAATATATTTAGGTTTACTAATGTCATCTGTGATATATGAAAACAGACATGTGACCAAATTTCTAAAAGTTATTTCTGATTTTAGGTGTGAAGCTTTTTAGCGACACTAAATTGAACTTTATGTGTCATATATAATTGTAAAAATAATAAATTCTGTGAATCTAATTTGGTTTTACAACTTTGAATCAAAGTTTTCAAAAACATTACCTTAAAAAAACAACGATGAATAAATATTTTTATACGAGTCCATACCCTGATACAATGTCATTTTATTATGAAACCCAGGAACCATATAGTAAATGTATGCTTCATTACTATTCATATTCATATATCCATTACTGTATTTTAAACACTGCAGCCTTGTTTAAAAATAGATGTTGAAATTTAATCTGTGAAACAGATTTTATTTTGTAAAAAAGTGTCTGAGAGTTCATGGAGTTTCACTGTAAAATAATTAATAGACAGAAAAAAAACGGTATACGCCAAAATTAACACACTCTTCAAATGTTTATGTCTGAAACTTAGAAATAAAATTTACAACTTAAAATACCAACTGTAGTTTGAAAACAACTTTAGTTTTAGCATCTGATGAAATAAATGCTTATAATTTAGTGAAACTCAGTATGTAAAACATATTTATTTATAGACATACTTTCTGCCTCTGTCACAGAGATTGCTGCCAATAAAACATGTTGCATCAACTTGTCTTCAGTCTGTTTGTCATTCAGTAAAACTGGAAATTATCCCTTCAAAATAAAAACATCAAACCTAAAACTGGAAGTTAAAAATTGATAAAACTAAGTGAAGACGAATTGCACCAAAAAGAGACACAACAAATAAATAACGTAATTTATTTACACATATTTTAACTTAATTTTAAGGTTTGTTTGATGAAAAGCAGCATCAATAAAATAATAAACATACTGAGAGAGAAATGTCTGTTTCATTCCATAAAAGCCCAGTGTGGCTAATTAGCACCATACCTACATTTACACTAAAGCTAGGCGCAATTTTAAAAGTAATAGTTTTGAATTAATTTAGTGTCTGAGAGCAAAATCTCAAGTAGTTTTCCAGGGTCAGAAGGTCTGATCCTTTCCATAAAAGCCCAGTGTGGCTAATTAGCATCATACATACATTTCCACTAATGCTCGGTGCACTTAGAATGTATAATAATTAGATTAGGGTTTGATGGGAGCAGGAACCGGCGGTCCGGCCTGCCGTCAGTGGGATGGAGCCAACCAGAAGCCAATCATTAGTGTCAGATGTGTATCCAACAAAAAACGACTCCCAGCAGCGGCTCCGGGGACTCATCGCCTTTAGATCAATGGCAATAAGCGCTGCCCCTCTCCTCCGTCTGCGCTCCAGGAGCTCGATAAAGGGGCGGCCCGCGGCCCGTCCCTCCCGGCCGAGATCAGCCGCTCAGACGGCCGGCAGGCGCAGCATTAACTCCGGGCTGCCGCTGGATCCTCGGGAGGATTCCGGACGAACCGAGTCAAAGAAATCTTCAGAATGATGAGTGGAGTTTAATCCATTCAGCAAACTACAGAACACAATTTAGAAATCTGGATAATAAAACGTTTGTCCAGCAGTTAGTAGGTCTGGAGTTTGATCGCCTGCTGACGTTTGTCTAATTGTGGTTTCTGTCCGATCTCTGCTTTGGAACAAATTAAGGGCCGTGTAATCTGGTGGGACAGTTCAGATATTAATTGAGAGCAAGTCGTTAAAAATTCAGAGCTAATTAGTTTCGTGCCTGGAGTGTTTTTCTGTCAGAATGAGGAGATGTATGTTGGTCAGTGATCTGTTTCTGTCCCTGGTGAGAGACTTTGTGTATTCTCATGGAATAATGATCAATCTGGCAGATTTATCATTTCAGACGCTTTTGTTGGCTAGCAGAGACTCCCTGCTCTTAGCTGCGTGAGATTAATACAAGGATTTATTTTCTGCTAATTAAAATCAGGATTTCTAATCTTATGGTGCAACTTCCCTCTCGCTGCTTTGTCCTGACTTGAATTAAAATCTTCAAGTGGATCCAGGATGGAACTGGAAAATATGGACTGGAGTTTGCAAACTGTAACCCAGTGGGGGGTTAAACTTAAAGATAACAATTTGGGTTATTTTGCCAAAATGGGGGTTAATTTTTGACAGTCATATTTTCACTATGTTATTCATTTATAAAAGCCACATTTTACAAACTAAATATCTAGATAGCAAGCTAAATATTTAGTTTGGTAGCTAGATATATA